GCGATGTGAATCTCCCCATCCAATTCTTACTCGATGACACACATTTCGTGTGTTTTATGTGAGCAGTTCTGTTCGAACAGTTGGAGTAGAGAATATTGTAGGCTACTGCTAGCAAAACAATGCGAAATATGTAATTATTTTCGGTAATCCGGACACTTTTGGTAATCTGACACACCTTTGGTACCATACCTGTCGGATTATCAAGGGACAACTGTATATAATAAATAGTTAACTCTGGTTAACACAGCTTTCGTTCGCTTCTCGTAGATTCTGTCTTATACGGGATACTTTGGATAAAAATTTGATGGTTATGTCAAAATAACTGAAATTTTCTGGCTTTTTCGGGTTTCCCCCAAGGGTGTTCCGCTTCACGCAGATTTTACTGTAATATGTTCGCTAGATGATAAAATTTTTATGTACAGCATTTGGGGACAAAATAAAAAACATTAACGAATAATTCAAAATATATGGTTACGTGGAACTCTTTTTTCCAAATATCATTATCTGACAATGTACTGTATTTAAAAATTTTTAATGCTTTCAAATTTATTGGAGGAAAGTTTTACGATTCCTTCATTTTTAGGGTGAGATGTTAAATATGAAATAAGCTAAGTTTTAAACACTCATAAATTATAAAATTTCAAAATGAAAATTAGTTTCAGTACTATGAATTATGTTAAATACTTGGAATTATTCAAACACTGAAATTATTTATATGAATTATATAGAGGAGAAGGTGGTATTATGAAACCCCAATTACATTTTAGTGAATTGTAAACAAGGTATCATAACTACACCCACATTTTTTGTGCGAAATGTACTGGTAACTATTAAACTAAATGTTCCTAATTAGATTTTTCGCTAGTGTAATTATAAGTATGGTTTTTGAAGGCTTTTGTACAAAAAGTCAGAAAGTAGGCTTAGAGAAAATCGGGTGGTAATATGGAACCTTACTGTATATTTTCAAAAAATGCTTTAATGTAGCCAAAAACAAATAGGAAAGTACAAAGAATGTTAAATAATTACAAAATCATTTACTCCAATGTATTTTAACGCAAAAATGAAAAGTCATAAGATGGTAACTACTTTAATGAGAAAAATAGTCTAATTTTTTTATTCTCAGCAGCTATAACATTTGGTAAAATATAGACTAATAGTCTACAAAATTTAATTTTTGAAAAACGTTTTTAAAAACAAGAAAATTTAATACTTTAAAATTAATCTATATGTAAATGCACCATCTTACCCCACCTATGAGGTAAGATGGGGATTTTATTTTTATAGACTATAGACTACAAGGACAAATTAAAATGGTTAAACTATCGCTTTCTTCAATATTGGCACAAGAACAGTGTGCCCATTTATCACAACTGCTACATTTATTGTTATTTTTCAAATAAATAAACATAAAAGTTTGAACTTACTTGTAGACTATTTACTTTACCAGACGATACTGTCACTTCGCGCATGCTCAGTTTCGCTATTTTGTAAGCAGACGATATTTTTTTTCATGAAAAAAAAATTTATTTCGATTGTTATCTTACATTTTATTTCTTGTTAAGATAGTATTTAAATTAAAAAAATGTTTTCATAAATAAAATAAAACGTAAAAACATTATTTTATGGTTTGAATTTGTTGGTAATACTGAACACCAGGGGAGTTGGGTTCCATATTAAAAGCACCAATGGGGTCCATATTTCACGCATCTCCATCTTGGGTTAACTTAATTCCTGTCGGCACCAAACTTTAAAAACGTGAAAATCACACAGATTAATATGTACCCCTAAGTCTCTGGAACGGAATACATGCACCAGTGAACCTACAACTACACGATTTATATTTTAAAAATAATTAAATTCACTTAGCATTCAAAACTTGCGAATTTTGAAAAAAAAAAATTTGCTGATTAAATACGGACAACCGTTTAACTGAAGTAAAACGGGTTTTCCCCTTGCTATGGATGTCTGCCTAGTTCAGTTCAGCCACATTCCGCTACAGTTCGCCTTTATTATCAGTTCGAAATGGGGTGGTTCCATAATACCCGCAGTGTTCCATAATACCACCTTCTCCTCTACTATTGTCTGGGGAATCGCATCCTTATACGCTGTCAATAAACTTCACGTGGTACAAAATCGCTACATGCGTTCAATATATAATCTACAATACAGGGAATCAGTGTCAGAATTTTACAGTATCGACAATATTGATAGGATGTGCGAAATTTACATGAAACAAGTTCTGTTGGAGAGTTATAAATACATAAAGGGTAACAAGGAAAATAACTATCTCGGAAATAACATAGGTAAATGTCGAAAATCAACACGAGATACTCGCAAGATATGTGGATATAATCTTCCAATCGTTGAGATGGAAAAATCTGCACCGATCTTCCGAATAATTTCCTATTGGAATATTTTGAGTAATAATTTACGGAACATATCAAGTTACAAAATCTTCAAAAAACGACGCAAAAAAACTTTAAGTCACAATAATTGTTATTAATTAATCTAAATGGATTTGAAAAATAATGTATTTATTATTTTATTTCAGCTCGAGTCTTGTTTATTGTTTAACAAACTTTATGTTTTATTGTTCTTGTTGTTCTAAGATGCTTGAAAAAGGCCTACTTGGCCACAGTGTCTTTTTGAAAATAAATAAATATATTCGAATATACAATAGCAATCTTATTATTTTTTTCTCATGTAGTATAGAAATCTGTAATAAAATACATAATGCGGTTATAGTGAAATATTAATTATAATTATATAATTATTCAAAGTATGTTAGAATATGAAAATAATCGCTCAATATGTATTTATATTTTAGAAAATACAAGGAAAGCTGCGCTTCCACAGCTTCCGTGGACGGCAGGCTACTGCTCACTTCTCCTCCCTTCCACTTCCGTTACTTATAGTTTTAAGTTAGTTCAACATATGGCGAATGAGCAATCAATCGGTAAACACTTGTAGCGATTATCGTAAATTTGAAACGGGTCCCCCAGAGCGATAAGCTGCCACCTTGACCGCTCGGCCATCCGGCCGTCCTCCGCTGTGGGGATCCGGGATCAAATCCAGACGAGTCGTAAAACCCCAACAATTTTAAAGGGTGGACCCATTGTGGACCTTTAGTTTTAACTGTTTTCGCTCTGTTGTGTGCAATAAGAGATACTCTTATAGCGAGCTCATTATGGTGCGGCCAAGACCCTCTTAGTATCCCACAGAGGCCGGATGGCCGAGCGGTTAAGGTGACAGCTACCGCTCTGGGGGACCCGGGTTCGAATCCGAACGAGTCGAAAAATTCCCAGGAATTTTTCGGGGTGGCCCGTTCGGATATGTCGGGCCCCGTCCCTCACCACCCGGCAGCTCCATTGTTGGCCTGGCCGAACTCATAATGTGCTTGCAAAAAAGAGGCCCTCTTAGTGCCCACAGGGTGGAAAGAGTTTAAAAAAAAAAGTATCCACAGAACGGAAAGGGTTAAAAAATCACGTGCCTTAAAAAGGCCCCTTATTCCCGGAGAGTTCAAAGAAATAAAATAATATAAATAATTGAACGAATTTAAAAATAATTTATTACTTTTTTAAATATAAAAAAAAGTAATTTATAGAGAAAAAGATACATATTTGAGGATTGAGTAATTGCCGAAAGGGTGCGCTCGTTTCCCAATAAGCGGTGCTGTCAACGATAGCATGTAGCTGGCGGATGTAAGTTTGTCTTAAGTTTTAGTATTGTAAATACTGAAATTTAGTAGAAGTTACTTTTAAGTAAATCTATGTAATACGAATGCACGTACAAGTTGCGTAAAAGTAATTTCTACTTGTATGTTAAATATAGAAACGTGATATAGTCCGCGCAGCCAAAGATTAGAGTGAGTCAGCTCAGCTGGAAGAGTCTATGTCAGATGAAAGGGATGGAAGGACACGTGAGAGTTGACACGTGGATACCATTTCATTTAATTCTAACGTTACGTTGCTGTTGTTTACTGATTCCTTTATTTAACACTATTTTTAGACTATTGGGGAAGTTTGGAGTGGATTATAACACAGGTTTATCATGTTAACAACTGCTACTTTACAACTCGTTAATATTAGAATTAGACAAAAAATAAACACTGCAAAAACCTATCAAACCAGCAATAAAATGATACACAAAGTGTGAATGTTTTCGCCTGTGTTAAAACGGGCATCATCAGTCAAACAAACTGCTGAGAAGACTCTGGGTATTGTTGAACATGTGTGTATGGAAAGGGGTGTATGACGTGAGAAGAGAGGAGAGGGGTCTATACTTCATAGTGAGACTTCCAGGCAGTGGGGAAGGACTCAATGTCACGATAGTTTATGGTTGCATTATGCGGGTGGACTTGTAAATTTCCACTTGTTCCAGATGTTTAAGGGCAGGGCCGCCGTAAGCGGGCGTGCAAGGCGTGCACCGCACACGGGCGGTCCGTCTAGGGGGCGGCAAAGAGCCTTTCTGGCAAGCTCAGCATAGGTAATCGTAGTTAAACAGGGGGCGGCATAATCGGTATTGCACACGGGCGTTCAAACAGCTAGCGGCACCCCTGTTTAAGGGCATGTTGTTTATACAGTAGAGCGTCGTTTATCCGAATCAATTGGGGACTGGGGTTGTTCGGATAACTGATTATGTATGAAAAAATATATTAACCTATCCCGTGTTGAAATTTTTCTCCGTTGCGTGTCGCTTTGCGTTGAATTTTTGTCAATATTAAGCCTAACATAAACTTTTAAAAATAATCATGGCTATTGTATTGTTAAAAATTATTTTTTTATTTTTTACAAACAAAATAAATATATCAAAATATATAAAAACAAAAAAAAATTATACTTTAGAAGTTAATCTAGTATCAAAAACGTTCGATTCAGCACCACACACAGTCTTCAGAAAAACACCACACAAAAGTGCCAGTGCTACCAGCTAAAACACACACATCAACAAAAAAAAATATTGGAGTAGCCCAAGATATAGCCAAAGATTGCAGTGTCACAGCACTAGCAAAAATTTAAATTTGCTGACTGGAATTCTTTCGGATAACTGACTTTTGGATAAACGACACTCTACTGTATTCCTTATGTAGAAGGTGTGTCTTGTGGAAATCTACCCAGATGCCAGGGTCGAATGTGTAGATAGCCAAAGCCATATTGTTGACCCACCAGTGGCCAAGCAGTTTTATTCCCTGAACACTGGGAGTTCGGTCGTGGGTTTGTGCCTCACCTGGGCCCTTAGTCTCGAGTTTTTCGAGTTGTACTCGAACTGACGTCATCGAACTCACTCGTGTTACTTATGACTCACATAATTGGTAGTCTCGAGTTAGACTCTTCGAGCGAACTCGAAAGGCGAGCGGAAATACGTCATACTCACCTGTTTACGTGTGTCGTTAAGCATGATGGGATTATTTACAATGCATCTGGGTTTGCGGCTATACTGATTCGACCAATCAACTTTACTGTAACAAGTTGTAAACAAATAAACGTAAATTAGTTTACACTAAGGCGCCTTAGTTTGCACATGTTGCAGTTACTTTTGTTATAGTGACAAAGAAGACAAAGAAAATGGAGACCTCCAATACTTTATTTAAAAAGATCAGTGACGAACAGAAAGAGATATTAGTCACATATATTGAAAATAACAAAAAATTGAACTCTGGAAAATTTGATAACGAATTTACTAGGAAAAAACAATTAGATATGTGGAAAGAGTTGGTTGAAAAATTAAATGCGTGCTTTGGAGCAAAAAAATCCATTGTGGAATGGAAAAAAGTAAGTATTTTAATTTAATCCTTTCTTCAGTTTTCTTCCTTGATCTGTTTCTTAAATTGTTCAACAAACTTAACACTTCTGATTAATTAATAAATAATCTTAATATAGTGTCTATGCTCTTATTAATTTATACATATAATTTACTATCATTTTAATTCATTCTCTTTTTCTATGAATTATACTTCTTTTTAGTTTTGGAAAAATTTGCTGTATAATTTTATCAAATAAAATTTTTTTATTAGTGCTGGCTTGACATGAAGAGAAATGCGAAAGAGAAGGCATCAAGAATAAGAAACAGCAGAGAAAAGACTGGGGGTGGTAGGGAATCTAGTGAAAAACTGTCTTCATTACAAGAAAGGATTATATCTATAATGGGTGACACAGTGGTTTTGGGGCAGCAAAACACTGTGGAATCCGAAGTTGAAGAATTTTCAAACTTATTGCAGACTGAGGTGAATAATAATCTTTAAATTTAAAATGAATAAAGACTAACGTGTTTTAAAAAATGTTATACTTCATTATTTTTCTGTATATAATGGAGAGTATTAATAATAAGTTTTGAAATTTCCATCAGTACTATTAATATCTCTGTTTATATTTTAAAAATGTAATTTATTATAATAGGAATCTATACTGCCAGGAATTGAAAATCTCTCTGCAACAGGAGTAAATTCTGTAGATATTTCTTCTTCTGAACAGGGTTAGTATGCATCAAAATAATCTCATATACAAAATAATTATAACAAAAATTTGTTATGGTTTTCAAATGTTTTCAATTTATCTAACAGATAATGAATATATAGATTTAACAAAAGAAGCCAGTCAGTGTAAGTAAATTTTTAAAATATTTTCAAATTACTTCATTAAAGCAACTGTAGCATTAATTATAAGAACTGAATTTATAGAATCTGTCATAAAAGAACTGCATATGTAGTATTAAGTCATATTAATATACAAAGTTATAAGATTTAGTGTAAAAGAATTAATTTTATAGTTAGCATGTACAAAGACTAAGTTTTCCATATGAATTTATGTTTTTTAGCTAAAGGAAGAAAAAGAAAAAACAATTCCAATGAAGATGATTTAAATGAAGCAAAGAAAAGAACAGAATCATTTATACAACTGGAAGAAGAAAAAATTAAATTAAAGAAAAAAAAACTAGAATTAAGGGAGAAGGAACTTTCCATAGCTGAGGAAAATAAAGACTCTCTTAAAAAAATTGCTACAGCACTGAATAGCATTGTAAATTTATTATCTGAAAATTCTTTGTAATATTTTTATGTATATATTGAAAAAAAATTTAATTTGAAAATAAATAAATTATTATTTTAAAGTACTGATTTTTCTGTTCTTTATATCTGAATATTCTTGAAAAAGGCAGGCTCTTAACAGACATGTATATATATATACACACACAATTTATTAGTATATCCAATATATACATACAATTTTTTAATGATATATATATCATTAAAATTATTTTTAAGAAAAACACAAGCTTATTAGTTGTTGTTGAATCCTTCTAGTTTCATTAAAAAGTATATCATTTGATGTATTTTCAAATTCTGTTGATGGTATGATCTGCGGTAACTGGTCTTCTGGTTGCAATATATCATCATCCTCCAAAGCAATATTATTTTTAATGGAAATGTTGTGAAGCACAACACATGCAATTATAACATTTGAAGCTGTCTCTGGATGATAGTGTAAGACCCTATGTTTCAACAAACATCTCCATCTATTTTTCAAGAGTCCATTACATTGTTCTATTATACTTCGAGTTGCAGTGAGACAATTATTATATTTTACTTCAGCTCGAGTATTGGTTGTACGAAGTGGAGTCAACAACCACGGCTCCAAAGGGTATCCACTGTCACCTAGAAAATACAATACGTAATTTGATAAGCTAATTATGATTTGTAAATACTGCCTACAAATTATAAAGTATCTGGAAATTTAAACAGAGACTTGTTAACAACTATGATAATATATTTATCATTACCTAAAAGCCAAGTATGTGCATTTCTGTTGCAGTTATGCCATCTCTGAAAGGCTTTTCTAACATTGGAATTTTTCCATATAAATGCATCATGGACACTACCAGGAAAACGAGCATTTACATTCATTATGTACATGTTTGCATCACATATCTGAAAAAAAGTATATTGAATGAGATTATGTATTAATTCTATATAAATGTTCTTAGTGTATCATAAAATTAAATGCATATCAATATTGGATCCACATATGCAATAAGGAATCAACCAGCATTTTCTTGTAAGATGATATTTTGTGATATTCTGAATCAAAATAAAAAATGTTGGTTGATTCCTTATTGCATATGCTCATAGCATAATTCATTTTCAGCAATGAATTATTAATTTGATATAACAATACAATAAATATTAAAAGTAACTTTTTAATTGCTAGATATATTTTGTTAGATAAGTAATGCAATATTTACCAATTGAACATTAAGAGAGTGATATCCTTTTCTATTAACATATATATGTTCTGGATAATTGATATCCTCTACAGATGGTGATACAATTGCTACATGACAACAATCAATTGCCCCTATTACACCAGGGAAAGTGTATTTTTCATAAAATCTAAAATGAAGAATGTACAATTTATTATTATTATTATTATTAAGAATGCCACAATATTGTTAATTCACTTACTGCTGTTTCAATTGTGCATGATCTTGCATATTGAATGGCATTCTAACCCAATCCTTTAATAACTTATCCCTTATAGCTACTGAAACACTTCTAATAGCTCGACTTACTGACTTCTGGCTAATACTTAGAGTAAAATCTTGGCCTATTCCTAACTGGTAGGAACCACAGGCAAAAAATCTTACAGCTGCCAAAACCTAATGAACAGTAATAAAATACATGATAAAACAGAATCAAACTTACTTATAAATGCTAGCAGTAATTCATTCAGAATAAAAAATACTATTACACAATTCTCTTAATAAAAATTTAAAGATTACATTAAGATTTTAATTTTAAAAGATTTAATTCTTTTACTAAAATTAACAATGTTTACAATTTATAGTTACATGCAATATATTGCAGTTTTTACTCATGCAATTACTAGAGGAAGATATTTTAAATATGTATATTGTAATATCATATAAACTTAATAATTGATTATTTAGTACATTCATATATCTGTATTGTATTATAATAATTTAAACTTACTCTAGTTTGAACACTTAATGCCGATCTTCTAGTCTGTTCTTTCAGTATCGGTCGAAGTGCATTTATTAAATTTGATGCCACTTCCTTGGAAAGTCTAAATAATCTTCTAAAATGTTCTTCGTGAAGATCAAAGGCATCTACTCGTGGTCGAAAAATTCGTTGCCTTCTCAAACAACGTCTTTCGGCTCTTTCTAACTCTTCGATAGCGATAAGAATGGCGTATCTGTCAGCCATTTTTACTTTCGTGTAGCGATCTCACATGCTCGACTCAACGTGAGTAGCAACTCGCATGGTGAGATGGGAAAGCACGTGAGTTAGAACTCGAGACTACCAATTTGACGTCAGTGTGTGAGATGGTACCACGTGACACCTTCAACACGTTGGGAGTTGTAACACGAAAAACTCGAGACTAA